GTTCCATAGTTTCTCCAGTCCAAACTTCCGGGAAGACGGACCAGACACCGCGCACGATCTTTCCTACACATCCCTTGTTCCATCATCACCCCTTTCTTACACACACATGCTCTCTCAAGCACAACACTATTACACTTGTTGGGACCCAAGACCTTGGCAACTCGTATCATAATTCAAAATTTCTGAGTGAAACTTGTGACCCATTGGTCAATGTGTTTTAAACAAAATACCCTTTAGCAAACACAAGTAAACATAATTTTTGGCTTACGCCTACGTCATCTTTTACTATACTAGTTTCAACAATGTTTCACCAATTCCTTAGAGCAAAGAATAAAGTGTGTCTGGCGACCACAATGTTAAATAAAGACGTAGGCTTCCGCGGCGAGAGTCATGTGAATTATCTTGGCTATCCGGGTGACGCCGCGAAAGGCTGTGTTACGACCATCTTATCGTGGCCTTCCTCAGGACTGGTCTGCCAAGCTGAGAGGTGGCCGAGAACTTCTCTCGTTGCAGATTCTGCAAATGCTCTCACAATCATCTAAGCAACCTCAACAACATCCACGCCTTGATACCTGAATTGTTTCTCATTTTCCAGAGCCTTCAAGTATGTTCGAGGAGGCGATGATTGTGGCTAAAGTTCCAGCACGTTGGCCTTTCCACCCGGGATACATGCACACATTTGGGTTCACCGAGAACTTCTTCGTCGTCGTTGAACAACCGCTGTCGGTATCTGTACCTGCCATGGTCAAGAATCACGTTACCAGTTCCCCAATGGCAGCATCTTTTCGGTGGTACCCAGAAGAACAAGTTAGCATCAATCAAATGAAGAGTATCTTTTAAATATGTCTTATGAGCCAATATATTGATCAATAATCCTCTCTTACAGACACAAATTCATTTAATATGCCGCAAAACTGGAAAAATTGCACATCAATTTGTCGCAGAAGCTTTTTTTTACCTCCACATAATAAATAGCTTCGAAAAGGACGACCACGTTGTTGTAGATATATGCTGCTACAGAGATCC